TCAAACGATTGGGCCGGCCATTAAACGCAATGGATGTAGAGTAGAAACAAATTGGACTATGCATTGCAGGTTCAACCCAATCGCGCACGCACAAAACGCAACCTTTAAATATGCATTATTAATCAACAAAACACACGCAGCGAGTGGCCCACATGAATCATCCTGCCAAAAAAAAGAAAAAATCCCTCGCAAAGCAACTCATGAAGATATATATATGGAGGACAGTATAATATCCGCACTCTGAATTTACCAGCGTAGAAAGCGCCGTCGAAACTCCTCCCCACCCAAGATTAAATCTCATCTAGGCCAAACAGTCTACTACACAAATTTAAAGACATGATTAAGATCGCGACCGGTCTCTAGAATAGCCAAAGCCATGCTATTATTGCCAAGTAATAAGAATATTCTATTGCTTTGATATGCTTGCCATATTTCTCAGCATGCTCTAGTTCTGCTGCAACACACGTCCCCTCTTATAACATTACTTTTGAGTCTCTTCACCGTGCTCAAGTTCAAATTTGCAGTACAACATCTAAAAATCAGCAATGTAACACCCCTCAATCTTTGCTATTCTCAGCTGAGTTTTCTTCCTTTCCCAATGAAACAACCACCTTCTTTAAAATAGCTTCCGTTGGCTGGTGAGAATTTTCTACTGCCTTTGATATGGCCTGCCATTTCTCGCCATGCTTTGGTTCCGCGGCCACACACCTCTTAATAACATCTTTCTGAGTCTCTTCATTCCCGTGCTGAAGTTCAAATTTGTAGTATAATGCCCAAAAGTCACCAATATCAGGAGCAAGAGTAACTGCCCTGTTTAGATAACTCCTAGCCTTGTCAACCTTCCTTTCATGCCAAAATAACTTTGCCACAGCAGCGAGGACATGAGGATTCTGCTCACACTTTTTATAAGCATCGGAACTCCTAGACTTCTTTTGGGGCCGAGGAGCCATCTCAATGTTTGCAGCCCACAGAATGCCGCTATTGGGGCATTCTTGCAATGCCTTGGACATCAATATTTCAGCTTCCTTCTTGTTGCCATGCCGGGCTTCAGCCCGAACTGCAGCAAGCCACAGTTCAGGATTCTGAGGATTCTTCTTCCTGGCCATTGTTAAAACAGCTCGAGCTTTACTGAGACCATTCACCTTTTCCTCTAGATTAGCAAGTGAGAGCCAGAGGGGAATACAATTTGGACAGTGCTTAAGACCTGACTCGTACGTTTCCTTTGCTTGCTCCAAATTACCCAGTCGTTCCTCCAGCTGGCCTAGCATTAACCAGAGTTTGAAAAATGAAGGGAAGCTCTTGAGCCCTTCATCAAGCAGCCGCCTCTCCTCCTCTGTGTTCCCTAACTCTCTCTCAACGATTGCAGATTTCATCCAAACTCTTTCTGTGCCTCCCCTTTCTCTTGCTTTGGCTAGAAGCATCCGTGCTCTCTCAGGCTCGTGATTCTCAAACTCAAGTTTGAAAGCAGCGAGCCATATCTCCTCAGAATTAGGAATTGCAGCATAAGCTTCCTGAAGAATGGCACGGGCTGCAGGTACATCACCAGCAAGCCACTTTTCCTTGGCCCCCATTAACCAGAGAACTTCAGCGTGTGGTATATATTGGACTGCCTTACGCAACAGTGCATCAAGAGATTCCCTGGTTCCGTGGCTCTTTTCAAGCTGTGCTGCTTTCAGCCATATACTCTTCTTAGTCAGAAACACAGTGAGGGCATGAGCATAAATTGCCCTCGCTGTTTCAATGGAACCTCTCTTCTTGCACTCTTCAGCATCAGCAACCCAGGTCCTCTTTCTATCTTCTTCCTCCACCCCAATCCCGATGGTATGACGGATAATAGCTTGGCATGTCACAACAGAATTAGCCCGTTCAGCGGCCTCGGCCTCTTTCATCCAAAGTTCTCTGTCAATCTCCAAGCCTTCTCTCTGTAAAGCCCTGATACCCCTTTCTATGATCTTTCCAACCATAGAAGTATTACCATTGGCTTCCTCCAACTTGGCTGCAGTAATCCATATAGCAGGTTCTTTAGAAAGCTTCTCTCTGGCCTTATTAAGTACCTTCTTTGCGTTGTCATAAGTTTCCAGCCTAGCAAGAGCAAGCCACAACTCCACATGCAATGGGCAACACTCCACAGCCCGCTGGAGTAAAAGCCTCGCATCCTCTTCATTAGCAAGCTCCACAACTGCCTTCCAGAGCCTAACAGAATCTGGAATATGTTCAAGACCCTTTCTTAAAACCCTACTCTTATTTACATTATCATGCTCCAACCTTGCAGCCTCCAACCACAACTTAACAGAATTTGGATTGGCCTTAACTCCTCTTGCTATCACTGCCTTCGCGTCTTCCGGATTAGACAACCTACAGGCCTCCACCCAAATATCTTCACTTTTGGGACACTCCTCGCAGCCCTTCTTAATAAGCTGCCTGGCAACCTGTAGCTTTCCAGCCACCTCCTCCAACCTCGCGGCAGCAATCCAACCGGGCGGATGCTTAGGGTTAGAATGTATCACAGAACTCAGCAACAGCCTAGCCTTCTTAATATCAGCTATATCAGCATCACTATTAATCTTCAAACTTTTCAAATCAGTCAAATAACCCTTTGGATCAACAACAGTTTGCCCAGTAACAGAATCTGAAAGCCTATCTAACTTGAGAGACAACACAGTACCTCTCCCTTCACCAACGGCAGTCAAATCCGTAACAGGGGTCTGACCCCATGGAGTCTCTGTCCCACCAGCTGCCCGAGTCCGGGGATCCAACGCTGTCACGTGCTCTTGCTCCTGCCTCGCCTTTTCCAAAAGGGTATCCGGAACCGGGACGAAACTCTCGAACTTCTTCCTCTTATTTCTCAATGAATAATCCCCAATTTCCGGTATGCTGTCCCATTCTTCAGCTGACAGCGTGTGCAGTTTCCTCTTCAACCCTGCAAATTGCTCAGTAATCTTGGGGTTCGACGCTCGATATTTCTCGATTTCTTCCTTTAACCTAGCTTCCCTCCTATCCTTCCTCCTCGAGTCCATCCTCTTATCAATCGCCTCCCATATAGCATCGGCCTCCTTATCCTCGTCGTCATATTCAGCCGAAGCAAACAGCCCAACGTCGTTTCCTTCGAACTCATCAAACTTCTGATTCTCATCGTACCCCTTCTCTTCATTCTCCTCTTCCTCCTCTTCCTCGCCGGGCCCGCCTTTCCCTCGCCCCCGGCCGACTCCAGCAGCTCCACCAGAGCCGGCACCAATGGAGCGATCGGGTAAATCAGGGGCAGCACGGGCCGGGCCGATATCAGAACGGGTGGTGAAGCCCGTGGCACCACGGCCCAGCCCGGCAACATAATTAGTAGGGGGTTTCGTGTTCAGGAAGTCAAGACGGTTCTTCGGCACCGCGGGGGGTTGCACGCCGCCGAGTAGAGGGACGTGTAAGGTGAGTGTTGAAAAGGGAGAAACGCCGAGGAGAGAGAGTAGAACGCCGTCGTCTTGGGGTCTTGAAATAAGGCGAGGGGAGAGGTAGAGGCGTTGGAGGGGCACTGGAAGGTGGAGCTGGCGTTGGATTTCACTGGTTAGGGTTTTGAGGGTGGTGGCGCAGGGGTTGAGATTGATGGTTAGGGTTTGGTTATCGGGCGTTTTGATGAACACCATGACTGTGCGTGAAGTGCGGGAAGAAATTAGGGAAAAAAAAAAATCCGAGGTTCGATCCGAGGATATTATTAGACCATAACTAGACAGGCTGTGGTTTGGGCCGCCGACTTTTGCCGGTTTGACAAGTGAATGAAATCTTTTTATTTTTCTCATATCAGAATTGGCTTAGAAGAAAATAGATTTTGTGATTTTTTTTTTTTGACATCATTATGAGGTCTTGTCTTCTTTCTCTCTAGACAAAATGACTAACGTACGTTATCTGGCCTACTATCTAAGTTGTCCTCCAGGAAAAAATAAATAAATAAATAAAAGTTTGGCCAACAAACATCATGAATGAGAACTATCATAAACAACAACGTTGTAGCGATAACTGTGTAGTGGAACAATTATGAGTTTGAAAAAGTCCGCCCCTCCCCCCCTCCCCCCCCCCCCCCCCACCCCCCCCCCCCCCCACAAAAACGATGACATCATGAGTGAAGAAATAAGTGTGGGTGTCTATTTTTCAAAGCCATGATATAGATGAAGATAAATGATCCTCTGGCCATTTCATCAAAACTTGTGGTTTACGATCGAATCCAAGACAGAATAAAATGTGCACAAGAATGTAGGCAATCAGCCCAAATAAGCAGTGCCAGCATCAATGCTATGCTGCACGGTAGCAAGTATTAAGGCTGGAGGTTGCAACTTGAACAACAGGGTAACAAGCTCCTCCCTTGCTAGCCACTTGCACCCAGAAGAGCGGAGATGCACAGCAGCACTCACATTCACACGAAATCAGTGTAGCAGATTAGATGAGTGCTTTTCTTCCAATCTAAAACAAACTTCACTACCTACCTAGATGCTAGCTTGCAAGATTGTGGTGCAGAATTATATGTCCATCCCCTATTATTCAAAGAGTGATAAATTGTATAGCCAGTCTTCTTTTGGTCTATAAGTGAGAAACAATGCAGAGGCCTAGAAGTCACAACGTTTTCCTCGATCCCCCCTCGGCTTCAGAAACAGGACAACCAACTTAACTGGTGTTCTTATCCTCTGTTAACTAATTCTAATCCCAAGACAGATTAAATTTCAAGGGGTTTTAGGAAAGTTTCACCACCTACTAGAGAATACTTCCTAAGGAGAAGGTTCACCACTTCGGCAAGCATAGGTCTCTACAAACTGCTTCTCTCAGTTACTTTCTGATGTCAAACCCAAGGGCCAAAGTTCATACCCGCAATCATTAGGTTATTCGCAACTAGTGCAAAAGTGTAAAATGCATTCATCAATAAGACCATTTTGATGGTAAATTCAAATATCGAACAGATTAAGTTTCAGACAATAGGGAGAGAGCATTAGATTGAAAAGTGGCATGAATGAGGAGAGAACACAGAAAGCAAATGGTCAGACATATGTTTTCACTAATTGGTTCTATAGTAAAACATTTCTTTCAGCTCCTCGATATGAAGCTTTTTAGATGAGTAATCAATACAAGAACCACAACAGTTTGCAACAAATTCAGCCACAACAACATATCAAATATTCAAAGCTGCTTTGCGCAAAGGCTCACAATGCATAAAGCAGAAAGGTTCATATTATACTTCAACATTATAAAGTAATAGTTTGAAGTACAATATGATGTATAACGAAATTGAAAACAGAGCAACAATGTGTTGCCAGAAGAGTACTGCCGAAGCTTCACTAACAGCATATCCCCTCAAGCTAGCAACTGCTCCAAATAAGATGGCACTTGGTGTTGTGTACTGCAATAGAAGCACAAATATGTACATTTGATCCCCATGGATAACAAAGTTCGCTTTACCAGCCAGATAAACTACCCCAATCCCAATCAACGGAAGTACTAATAGTCTTGCAACAATGATGCCAACAGTTGTTCGAATCCCAAGCCTAGATTCATTGTTATCTGTACCCTCTGCAAGCATAGCTCCAATACCCAAGATCACTGCAGGCACCAGTGGTGCAGCCATCATTTCTAAACTATCTGTCATAAAATTAAGTGGGGCATCATCACCATAAACAACAGATTTTATGGGTGGAACCATTCCAATAATAAAAGCCAAGATTGTAGCAATCATCGGTGGCTGAAGAATTTGGCGCACTGGAGTTTGTTCAGCAACAATTCTTATTCTCCTAACCATCCTTGGCTCTGCCAAACATCTAATAGATTCTGGACTCCTGGGTTCTCCCTCCTCCAGAGAATCAGGATTAGGAAGATTACTTTCTGAAATGCTCGAAACACTTGTAAAAACCCTGGCAATAAATGGTGTTTTGCAGTGCTCGGTTTCATTCTCTTCCATTCCAGGCCACTCAGCTTCCACAAGAAGCGGCCTGCTAAGATCATTGGTAGACACGTGTTCCTGAATCTCGCCCTGCTCATCCTCAACAACCTCATAATAATCCACTGGGGGCTCCATCATGTGGTAAACAAGGGTACAAACAAGAAGCGCTGACACCCATTGGGCCAAAGATACATAAGCCACTCCTGTCCTTTGGCATTCTTGACCAAACGGATTACTGGAACTATGGCATACCGATCCAACAATAGCAAGTGGCAGATTGCCCGTGTTCCCAAATGCTGTCACAATTACGGTGAATCTAAAAAATTCCGGAGGCGGCCTGCAAATGATTGCCACCAAGAACCCCAAAACACAACCAATGGCAGTACTAATAAGCACATTTACAGGTATAAACCACCATAGCGTGAAATTCTTGAAAGTAATCGATTCTCCCAGCTGAATGAATATAGCACAAGGCAAAAACAAAGCAAAAACAAGCTTACTTAGAAGTTTGAATGTAGCCTTTGGAATAAATTGTGTTTTGGGATGGGCAAGAATTAACCCAAAAATTGTAAGACAAAGGAGTTTCAACAGCGGTAGCACTGCACTAAGAAAAATATATTGTTCTTTGGACCTCATCTTTGTTTCACTTTCTCCATCTAAAAATACCATCTTTAATAGAAAAAACTTCCCAAAAATTTATCGAAGACTGTCCCGTCAACAACTGATTAGAATTCTACTCAAGATTGAAATTTTACAGTAACGGGCGTGCTAAATCTTCTGGTTCTGATGAAAACAGCAATATAGAACAGAAATGACTAACAACACAAATGCAACCAAACTTGATTCGTACCTTCTTCTCCAGGCCTCACGCTAAAAATTCAGAGACAACAGCAAATATTTCAAAATTAAGAGATTCAGCTTTCAAGAAGTAGAGTTTCTTACGAAGTTTCATGAACAGAGAGACGGAAAGAGATGCAGAGTCATAGGGCCGAGGAGTCAGGTGGAGAGAAATTAGGAAAGGCCGCCTAGTTGGATAAGCAGAAAACCAAACTCTGCCTTACGCAAAGTTGCCAGAGTACGATTAACCTCTGGAAGCTAGATTTCAATCATGGACAATCAAGAGCAATTTACTCGACGAAGGTGGGCGCGTGATTTATAGGCATGAACGAATGGTCCAGCACGAACACGTCAGACCTTGACATTGCATAGTATTTTTTTTTATGGTAATTAATATTTATTGTGCTTTTCACTCCTCAACTATTTTCAGTGTTGCACTTTGTGTTACAAATTTTCGATTATACGACTTATTATCTTTAATTTATAATTTATTTTCAATTTGTTACAATAAATTAAATTTTGACAAATTGAAACAGATTTTAGTCAGATGAGTAGAAAGTCCTTCTGACCCCTATTATGATTTTGTCCCTAACATGTTCTTTTATATCACCGAAAGGTACTTATTGTACATTTGTTTTATTCATCTAAAGCTAATAAAGCACTTTTTTTCCCTTTAGTTAGCAAAATTAAACCCAACTCTATCTCTCTCTCCCTCTGATCCAAAAAATAGAGTACTAATAGCTTTTGTTGGAATTAAAAATAATTTGGAAAAGGGTATTTTTTTTAAAGGGTTTTACTAGTGTATTTTTTTGCTTAAAAAAAAGACTTTATTAGCACATTTCCTCCCAAACATGAAGGCAAAAGAATGGTATGGGTTGAATGAGTCATGTTGCCAATCATTTACCTAATGAATTTTTCTCTAATTTAGATAAGTGTAGTGGGTTGCAAAAATAAAAAAAAATGTTGAAGGCAGTAAAGAATAAAAGTCTAAGGTTTTGGGAGCCAAGTACAATATAGAATTAATTGAGGATGCAAATTGAAATTAATCCTATTTTGATATTTGGTCATAAAAAGGACGCGTCACTTCATTAGAATGTAATTTACTCTACAGTGTACAGACAAGTAATACAAGTTTTCTACCTAGGCTATAGAGTCCTTGCAATATTGCTCCTTTTTTTTCTTTTCTTTTTTTTTTTTAAAAAAAAGGTCCTTGCAAATTCTCTCCATATAAAAATGCAAAGGGTACTACCAGCGTATAGATAATCCAAACAAAAAAGGTAATAATGCAAAGATAGTAGTATTGTGAGAAATGATGAGAATCATTTTAGATAAAATTTGTAGAATTCAAACATAAGCGTAAATAAAGCGGCAAAGGGGGATGTTGAGTTTAATTAGTTCACTCTAAAATTGGCCTTTGTAATTATATTATATACAAGTCGGAGTAGAAAAGGATTTAACTTGTCTCCCCACAACTAGCTACTGGTAATTACTCTTTCCAATCAGCATGAAGGATGTAGTCGAATTTTTGACAAAAAATAAAAAAGAACCTTAGGCATTACTTAGGGATGACAACGGGGCGGGCACCCCCGCGGGGGTCATTGAGGCGGGGGTGGGGGGGGAATTTTTTCCCCCTCTTTATACCCCCGCCTAGCCACCTGTTTGAAATATATATATATGTACATAATTATATATATATATATACTGATATTATCAATTACACTACTAATTATACATGTCTATTAATAAAAATTATTAATTATTTATCCTAAATTTATTAATACATTTATGTTAAATTCCTAATTACACTTAATAGAATAACACTTTTTTCTAAAAAAAAATACAATAATAATTTAGTGATTGCATTTATATCAAAAGTGAAAAGTTGATTATTTTAGTTATATTTGTTTTATCATATTAGAATGTATTCAAATAACCTTTGTTTAATTATTTTTATGAGTTTCAATTGTGAAATTACGATGAATAATAATTTGATGATGTGTTGATATTTTATTACTTGATTATTTACTCAAATTTAATTATAATAAAATTATATAATAAAATTTTTTTAATTTCACGGATGCCCTCACGGGGGAAGCGGGTCGGGGTGGGGGATGGGGCGAGGGCGGGGGGAATTAAAATGCAATGGGGTGGGGGTTGGGGGTGGTGTCCCCCGCCCCATTGCCACCCCTCCCCCAACCCCCGCGGCCTCGCCCCCCTAGCATTACTAGTGGAAAAGCGTTATAAGGTGATTTTGTAACGTAGTGGTAACAAAATGGATTTGGGGCAGGGACGGTCATCAGTATGACCGTCCCTGCACGGTTAAGGGCCAAGATTTGCCCTCAAAATTTTGTGAGGCTGAGATTACACCATGTAACTCGATTTTTCGCGCCAAGTGTGGGGCCCACCACTATCTGTTGTGAAAATACATCCTGTGAAAAAAAAGTTACGCGATGTACAAAGAAAGTTACGCGCAGTTGATAATGACCAAAACCGCCTGGGACGGTTGCACCTGCAACCGTCCGTGCCCCGAGTCCTAACAAAATGGAGTAGTAGTTGTTTGATGATTCATTCTGTTTTGTTTGCTTAATTAGTTGAGGAATGGCGACGTTGTCCGAAATCGAACGGGGGTCTGCGTTTCCGTGTGACAGATTTGGGCCCATTATTTGAGTCTGCTAGAATTAGGCCTTGTCAATCGGGCCTAATGAGCCGGGCTTTAATGAGTTCAAGTTCAGCTCATTTAATTTGAATCATTTTCGGGTTTCGGGTTATGAATTTCGAGTTCGTAAATGTGAAACTCATATTCAACTCACATAATATTCGGGTTGTGAGCCTTAATCGGGTTTAACCCAAGTTCACTTATTACTCCTTAATTTTCTTAATATAATTACTATAACTATTAAGTTGTAAAACTAATTTAACATTTACAAGACTATAATATTAAAATTAAACATGAACAAATAATAGTTCTTAAAACGTATATAAACCAAAAATTTTTCAACAATATTTATATTTAATCCATTTAAAATGCATGAAAAATAGTAATAAAACATGCGATCATAAGCAAATACATCTTTAAAAGTTGAAACTTTTTTTATAATCTTGTGATTTAAATCCAAATATGCTTGATGATTTTTGTGTTTGCAGACCAAAAAAAAATCAACCAATATTATGCCAATACAAAAATTTACTCAACCAATAAGAAAAATTAGAGATTTAGTTATGCATTACCAATATTGGCTCTCAAGAAAGCTCATGAAAGAGTTTTTAGATGTATTTTTGTGTTTTGTAATTTATGTATATATTTAGTATTTAGTAATAATATATTTGGATATATAATTATACATAATATCAAAATATAAATATTATATATATAGGTAATTAAAGCGCCGGGCCTATATCGGGTTTGAGCCTAATAAGGCTCAAACTCGGCTCACATTTAATTCGGGCCTAATTTTTAGGCTCAGATTCAGATCGATTCACTAAATGATCGGATTCATCGGGCTTTCTATCGGGCCGAGCTCGGACTGGCCCACCCCATTGACAGTCCTAGCTAGAATCCGTACTCAAGTAGGTAGAAATCAAATTGGACGGTGATTTCTTGCAAGTTGACGGAGAAAGACAAACAGGTAGTTCATCGTTGGATTGGACCATAATTCTTTTTTTTTTATTTATTAATTGAGACTTATCTACTTTACATTTACTCTTATTTGACCTTTATCACGAAGACATCCAATTGGGTTGGACCACAATTCTCTCGTCAGTTTTTGGGGTGGTTGGTGATGGCATATTGGTGTTACAATTGTTAATGCCTCAATCATTTAAGCCCAATCACAATCAAAGAACACGTATCCGCGTGCCTTGAGAAGATGAAAGCAACTGGTTGTCTCCAGACGGCCCGAGGTCCTAACTGACTGCAAACAGCTTCTTGTGACAGCAGCTTTCTTTGGAGCTGACTCATAGAGTCATATATAGTTGTGCTTCTCCAAATATGGTGAATTGTTGCATTAAATGCTATCCTGGTAACCGGAAGTGAACAATTGCCTTTTGGTATGGTTGTGGAGTTACCTTACATTCCGGTTGTGTATATTTGCTAAGGTTGAACGATAACCTTACATTCAAAGGATGAATTTGGGTAGTTCAGGATCATCCACCCTCAATTCTCTATCTAGGCCTGTCAACGGTCCGGATCTAAACTCGGACCCGGCTCAAATCCGTGAAATTATTGCGGGTATGAATAGGGATTTAATTCCGTTATCTGGATCCGAATCCGGATCCATTTTGTCAAACAAAAAAATGAGTCGGATACGGAATATAGTATTCCGATCCGTATTAGACCCGGATCCGGATATAAATGGATTAATAATTTAAAATATGTATATTTATCAATATAATTTGATTAGGGTGATATATTTGAGTAAAGTTAATTTGATTTTTTTTCTTATTTGATTTTTTTTGTATTAGTTAGAAATCAGTGTACAAATATATTTTTTTCTCATTTTTATTAGAAATTAGAAATTTTCATAATTTTTTTTCGGGTAGACCCGGACTCGGATCCGGAACATAGAGTAGAAGGCCCGTCGGGTAAACGGGTAGAATCCGGATCCAATTTAATATGCCGGGTCCGAGTTCGAAATAATGAATTTTGGCCCAAACCCGCCCGTTGACAGGCCTATCTCTATCCCATGCACTTTTCAATCCTGAACACCTGCTCAAGATAAACTCCCAGATGTGGGTAAAATATGAACAATAATAAATAAAAAAAAAAGATGCTCGTGTGACTCCTGTGCAGCAGAGTAGAAACAACAGCCTGTATCAACCACTATCTGCAAGCCGCCAACTAATATATATATATATATGAAAACGAATTTGAAATCAAAATAGGAATTTTGAATCACCAAATTCAAGAATTCGATGAAATTGAAATTTACCGAACTTTGAATTTAACAAATTCGAATTCAAAATTGATGAATTTGAAATCGAATTCGATCGAAAATTCTGATACCAAAATTCCGATTTCAAAATTTCCAATTATCAATTTCGATTTTGATTCACAGCCTGCCAAGCCATCCCTGGAAATCTTAGTCGCCACTTACAAGCTAACCACAGTATAGAGGCATGCGGGGGGACGTGTTTTTTTACCTCGCAGAATGTCAAACTGTGGAAGTTTACCCCGTGAAGTAACTAGCTTCTTCAAGGCTGATTTGACAGTGAAATTACCTGTTGCAGAAGGCAACCAAACTGCAGCATCAGAAGCATCTCTTAAGAGGCAAGGAAAAAGGAGCAGCAGCCTGGACCAGGTGCAAAAAGCTAATAA